TTTATTTATTTATTTATTTATTTATTTATTTATTTATTTATTTATTTATAGACAGGGTCTCACTGTGTAGTTCTTGCTGGCCTGGAACTCACTATATAAACCAAGCTAACCTTGATTTCACAGAGATCTGCCTGCCTCTGCCTCCCAAGTGCTGGCATTAAGGGTGTGCACCGCCACACCTGACCTCCTTTTTATTTTTTGATACAGGGTCTCACTATGTAATCCAGCTGTCCTTGAGCTCAAGGATCCTCCTGCTTCATTCAGTCTCCTGCACAGTTTATTAATTTGGAGTTTTAACAGTAAGTCAACCTGGCTATCTTCCAATATCTAGAGTAGACACTAAGCAGATGTGGATATTTAATTTAAATTAAATAAAATTGAAAATTCAGTTTCTCAGTTGTACTCAACCCCATGATAGTGGCTAGTGCAACATTGAACAGAGCTGATTCAGTACATTTCTGTTCTCAGAGAAAATTGTCTTGAACAGTGTTGATTGAGTGCACGGATGCTGTCTCCTGAGTTACTTCAGTTTGCCTATACATATAGCATAATAAGATAGCATAATGAGCCCCAGCTTCAACAAAACTTTTTGCCAATTTGTCCATTGGGAATAGTATTAAAGCAAACCCCATGTTTTGAGTTATTTATAAATATTTCAATATATATTACTGACCTGGAACTTGCTATGTAGACCAAGCTGGCCTCAAACTCACAGAGATCCACCTGCCTCTGCCTCCTAAGTGCTGGGATTAAAGGCATGTGCCACCATGCCTGGCCTGACAAAAAAATTTTAAATTAGCCCACATATCATCATACCCCATTAAAAGTAAAATGAATTCTTTAATATTCTCACACACCCAATACCTGTTTAAGTGTTTTTTGGTCTTTTTGAGACAGGATCTCCCTGTAGCCCCAGCTGTCCTGGAACTCATTATATAGACCAGGCTGGCCTTGAACTCACAGAGATCCACCTGCTTCTGCCTCTCAAATGCTGGGATTAAAGGTGTGTGCCACCACGCCCGGCTTGGTCCATTTTTTTTAAAGCTAAAATTCCCAGTAGATACAAAGAAGTGGAGTGGGGAAATAAGAAAGTTTTAAGAATCAGAATGAAGGGACTAGAGAGATATCTCAGTGGTTAAGAGTACTTGATGCTCTTGCCAGAGGACCTGCCTGGGTTCCATTCCCAGCACCCATATGACAGCTCACAATGGATTCAACAACCTCCATGGGCAAGTGGTGTACATACATACATGGAGCCAAAACACTCATACAAATGAAGCTAAGTATTTTAACTTTTAAAAAATGTATTTATTTTATGTCTATGAGTACTTGCCTGCAAGTATGTGAGTGCACCATGTGCATGCAATGCCTATAGAGGCCAGAAGAGGGTGTCAGATCCCCTGGAACTGGAGTTATGGACAGTTGTTAGCCTCCATGTGGGTGCTGGGACCCAAGCTCAGGTCCTCTAGAAAAACAGCAAGTGCTTGTGACCACTGAGCTATTTGTCCAGACCCCAAACTAAATACATCTTTAAAAAAATTTTTTTAATTTATTATTTTTATTTTATGTGTAATAGTGTATTGCCTGGACATCGGTAGGTGCATCCATGTTGTGCAGTGCCCATGGAGGTAGGAAGAGGGCATTGGATCCTCTGGAACTGGAGTTACGGACAGTTGTTAGCTGCCTCATGGTGCTGTCAATCTAATCTGGGCCCTCTGCAGGAGCAGCCAGTGCTCTTAACCACCATGCCATCTCTCCAGCCCTCAAATAAATCTTTTTTTTTTAAAAAAAGTCAGAATGGGGGAGCTGGAGAGATGGCTCAGCGGTTAAGAACACTGGTTGTTCTTGTAGAAGACCTGGGTTTGAATCCCAGCACCCACATGGCAGCTAACAACTGTCCATAATTCCAGTCCCAGGGGATCTGACAGCCTCTTCTGACCTCCGAGGGCATTGCACGATACAGGTGCACTTACCTACATGCAGGCAATACACACATACACATAAAATAAAAACAATAAAATTTTTTAAAAAAGTCAGAATGGTTGGAATTGGCTTGCTCCAAGTCAGTCTTGGAACCTTGGGCAAGTTATTTCCTTTAATCTTTATAATGTGAATAATTAATAAGAATCTTAAGGGAGATTATGAGGCATAAAATGAGGACATAGGCAAAACTCATACCAGAAAAACAGGTTCTGGTTTCCCCTAGCAGATCGCTCCTGGCAGATACTAAAATGTTAACTGATTGTTCCTGATCGCTATCTTTCTAGATCTCACTGAAGATTTAAATATTTAAATGATGTGGGTTCTTGAAACTGTTGTTTGGAGTCAAGATTTGGGCATAATTTCTTAGATGAACTATGTTGACAAAATAATTGAGGCTCTTTTTAGACTATATCATATCTGTTCACTCTCAGTTTAAACATTCCATAAAGCATTATTTTAAAAATGAAGACTGAGAAGATTCCTAATAATTGTTATCAGAGTTGTTAGGATTATTGGAGCTTACATCTTTTTTTGTGTGTGTGTGTGTGTGGTCTTTTGGAGACAGGGTCTTCCTGTAGCCCTAGCTACATAGCTACTGGCTATGTAGACCAGGCTGGCCTTGAAGTCACAGAGATCTGCCTGACTTGGCCTCCCAATTGCTGAGATTAAAGACCACCACCACCACCACCATGCCCAAAGAGAGCCTAGGTCTTGACAGCCCTGTCATCAATAGGCCAATTAAACAGATAAGCAATAATGAAAGGCAGAGAAAGATTTCTTCAGTTTGGCCACACTGGAAAGGGAAGAACAAACAGATCCAGTGATCCTCCAAATCCACCTTCAGGGTTCTGACATGACCTTTAGGTTCAAATAGAAGGCCAGAGGTATGCACAGCTAAGCAATCCTGGTCTAGGTCTCAGTCTCTGCTGAAACCTAGATGCTCTGACCAGTTGTCAAAACTGTGTGAAATCTCTTTTTTGGAGACAAATTTCTTCTCTGGCTGGCACCAGTCTTTTCCATTTTCCCAATAGGAGATTCCTGGGGAAATTCCAATTCCTTAGAAACCATTGTCTCAATAGTCTGATCTGTAAGTTTCACTTTAGAGCGTCTTCATCCATGGCAGGATCTTCGCATGAAAATTTCTTCTAAGATTTAGTCAAACTAGACAATTGTTATTTTGCAGGTCAGCTTTTCTGTTTCCCCTGAAATTAAAAATGTTGTTTCTAGAACTTTTCCCTTAAGCTCTGAGTTATCTTTTTGGATTCCTTTCTCCCCCACCCCCACTCCTTCCTTCCTTCCTTCCTTCCTTCCTTCCTTCCTTCCTTCCTTCCTTCCTTCCTTCCTTCCTTCCTTCCTTCCTTCCTTCCTTCCTCGAGAGTGTGACCTGCATGCACAGGAGGCCGGAAGTTGATGCTGGATGTCTTCTTTGATTGCGCTTCACCTTATTCAGATGTTAGTCAAGCTCACTTGAACCCAGAGCTTAACAATTAGTCTAATCAGCTTGCATTCGTGACTCTGTCTCTGCCTCCCAAACTCTGGGATTACAGGTAGCCATGAACACTTTACCCACTGAGCAACTTCCCAGCCCCATCTTTTTGTTTTTGAGACAGGGTGTCACTATGTAGCTGAGCTCAGGCTGGCCTCCAACCTGCAATCCTTTTTATCCTGCTGGTATTACAGACACGGACCACCATACTTGGCCTTTAAAAAAATTGCATTAACTTATTTACATGCATGTGTATGTACATGGGTGTGCACATATCACATCATCCACTTGAGGTCAGAGAACAACTTACAAGAGGAGTCTGTTCTCTCCTTCCACCATTTGTGTCTCAAGGACTGAACTCAGGTCATCAGTCTCGGCAGCAAATGACTTTACCTGCTGAACCATCTCAATGGCCCTTTTTGTCTTTTGAAACAGGGTCTCACTACCTCAGCTGGGGCTGGTCTGGAACTCCCTATGTAGACCAGGGTGACTTGAGATGCTACCTCAGCCTCTGGAGTGCTAGGATTAAAAGTATGTACCACAGCGCTGGGTGTGGTGGCACATGCCTTAAGTCCTGGCAGGTGTAGGCGGATCTCTGAGTTCAAGGCCAGCCTGGTCTACATAGTGAGCTCCAGGACAGCGGGACTACAGAGAGACCCTATCTCAAACAAACAAAAATAAGTATTTACCACCACATATGACAGATATGACAGTCTCCTGTAGCCCAGGCTGGCCTTGAACTCTCTATGTAACCAAGGATGCTCTTGAAATCCTCATCTGACTCCACTTCTCAAGTGCTGAGATTCATCTGGCCTTTTGTCTTGAATTGGACAAAACTACTTACCCCAAAATGTTTTTGAGGCAGAGTTTTATGGAGCGCAGGCTAGCCTTAAACTCATGATCTTCCTGCCTTAGCCTCTTGAGTGCCACCTTACCTGGCCAGAAATGTTTATGTTTATTCTCTTTACCCCCATTTAACCCATCTCACACTTTTGGGAGTTTCAGCTCACTGGCTTTCAGTCTTTGTGAGGACGAGGACCTAAAGGTATGTGCCACTGTCGTCTTCCTTAGTTCTATATGGTTATTCCCCCTAAAGGTCTATAATTCAACTCCTTGAAAATTTTATATTTAGGGAATACGACTGCATGTATAATGTACTGAGTAAGGCTTCTACAGTAAACAAAGGGGTAGACAAAAAAAAACAAAAAAACAAAGAAATCAAACCGGTGACACTGTTAACTGAACAGCGCTTCATGGAAGGATCAACATCAAACACTGAGAAATCAGAAAGAGACAGACAAGGAAGAGGGGAAGGAAGCAAGATTTATTCATTAACCTTTATTAATAAACTGGGAATAGTATTGAGTCAAACCTAGTAGTGCACAGACGACTTCTCCATTTGGAAGCGACAGACCTGTCCACGCTATTTCGAGACACAGGGTATCGAATGCGTCTGCATTCGGCATACCAGCGTCTCTTGCAATGGCCATACTCGCTGTCCTCCAATCCCTCAGGTCACAGTCCACTAAATTCGCGATGTCTAACTCTCGGGCCCCGGCCCCTCCCCTCCTAGGTCCCGCCCCTCCAGGCCCAGGCCACGCCCAGCAGAGGCTCACTTCCGCGCAGGCACCTGCCTAGCCGCCCCGCGCGGGGGTCCTGAGGCGCCCCGGAGAAGCGTAGCGATTGGCTGCAGCTGGCGGCTGGAGCTCGGCTCCAGCGGCGCTTGACAACCGCAATCTGCCGAGTTGAGCCGTCGAGGGCGGGATAGGGGCGGACGCCAGAAGGACCGGCTGACGAACTGATGGACTGACGCGCGGGCGGCGGAGGGAGGACCGACGCTAAGCCCAGACCGCCGCCCTCGCGCTCGCGTCCTAGCCCGGAGTTGGCCGCTCAGGGCTGCGGCCGCCGGTCTCCCGGCCGCGTCTTCTTCCGCCTCATCCCGGCGCTCCGCTCGGAGCCCTCAGGTGAGTGGATTCCAGGTGGCGGGGGCGGGCCGCGGCGCTCCGCGGGTTGCCATGGTCACCCAGCACCACCTGTCTCCGCCCGGGGAACCCCGCTCCCGCGGCCCCAGGGCGGCGGTCAGGGCGGGGAGGAGGGTCTTGGGTAGTCTGGGGTGGTGACTGCCGGGAGATGGGTGTCGGGCGAGGCCCGGGAGAGCACCGGGGAGCTGCCAGGCCCTCTGCGCAGGCCGCCGCTTCTGGACCACACCTTGCCCTGGCTGTCAGCTGGGTTTCTGGAGGATGCGCCTCTGGCGGGCGCAGGGTGGGTGTCCACCTCGCGTCTGCCGAGGGGCGCGAGGCGGGCTGACTGCGCTGCAGCTCTAGCTCCTCTGCTGAGCTGAGCATGAGCGAGACCGAAGGCTGAGCCCGGGTCCCTCTTTGGGCACGCCTTGGCCGGCAATTGAGTAGGGAGTGGCTGGATTAGGAACATGGGGTCGCCCCGCGGGACCCGGTGTGGCCTTTCTGATGTCACTGGCCGGTGGTAGCAGGCTTTGGGGGGACTTGGGAGGATGAGGGGACAGGGCTAGGGACTGAATTTGGAATGCGGGTTATGCCGGGGGCGCCTGCGTAGAAGACGCGGGAGGGTGTGGAAATCATAGGGTTAAGCCTCTTGGCTGTATTGGGGAGAATAAGATTGGGGCTTTAAAAGGCTCTCGGGCGAGGCCTTTGGCAAAGGGGTAGGGACGAAGGTAGGCAGGGACAGTATTTGACCTGATGATTTTTTTCCCTGCACACCCAGGCATGCAGTTAGTAACTACGCATGGTGTCTGAGGGGAGCGTTTTTTTGGCAACTTGGTTCTCACTGCATAATGAAAGGAGAAGTCTTTGTTCCTCCCAGATTCCCAGGTTGTGATCCTTACACTTATTTCTCTCCCTTTGTTGTAGAGTTCATAGGATGCTTCAAAAAGTTAATGGCACAGAAATGAACATATAGATTTTAAAAGACTGTAAATATTTTTTCACAGAAAATCCAAGTTGAATTTTTTTTTTTTTTTGTCTCGAGTGTTGGCATGTATTGCATTGACGTTTCACTGTAAAGGAGAAACGCCTAGAAGCCCATTTCCTTTATGTGGCACATTCTGGAGGTCTCATTTATAAGGAAGATGTAATGAATCATTGTACATTAAGATTTATTGGGCCTCCTGGTGCTTACCACAGGCTGTTTTTACCCTGACTGTGAGGAAAGAGGAGGCAAACCTGCCCCATGTTCACCCCAGCCCAGGCCACTGTGCCCTGGTCTGTATTGTGAATGGGGAGACATGGATTAAGAAAAAAAAAAAAAAAAAGATTTAGGGGAAGGTAGATGGGAAAGACTGGTAAATAACCCGTAACAATATTGTATGGTAAACAACCAAAACACAAGCCCCTAGAATTTGGATGTCATTGATTTGTGTGTCCTTGTGTGTCTGTGTGTATGACTTTTAACCTGTGCTATCTTCCACCCCACCAATTCCTAGTTTTATTCTTTCTTTATAAACCAGTAATAGGAACTTAACATAAGAGAACAAGAATAGTAACGATGTTCCTGGGTCCATAATTGTGCTCAGTCTCTCTCTCTCTCTCTCTCTCTCTCTCTCTCTTTGGTTTGCAAAATATAGTAAATTATTGAATGGACGTCCTATGATATGCTTCATATATGCTACAGTTTGAAAAACATTTCAAAGTAATAAAGAAAATTGTCCAGTTTTCCTTAGTAAATCAGTTCCCTGGAAATCAGAGTTGCCTGGATTTAAACTTCTCTTTGCTACCGTAATTACAGTCTTGGAAGAACTATCCTATCATTGACTCTCTTTCTTATTCTGTAAAATGGGGATAATGCCTGTTGTTTTAGTCTGAGAATTGATTGTGAAGCTGAATAAAATAATTCATTTGAAAGCACTTTGGGGAGAGAAATGAAGGCATCTGTTGACGAACACTTCAAAGGGGGGAACCTTGGCAAAGATAATTAAAATGTTCTGCATGATTTATTTAGTGTTTCTAGAATCAGGACTGTATTTATTACAATGTCCTTAAAAGAGTTATGAGAACTATTGGGGTATATACCCATTTTTGGCAGAGGTTCTTTTTATTGTGGTGATGTGGGGGAAAGAGTGTTTCCTTCTTGTATATGGGTGAGTATTGCTTTCTTACAGATAAGGCTATTGCTAATAACTGACTTGAGTTATATTTGGTACTAGATAATCCTCACTGTGGATCATTGGTTCTTGACTAATGAAGAAGTAGCTTACTTTATCTCCTTTGACCCATGCTTTTCAAATTAGAGTATTGACATCATTTTAGACTGGGAATGTTGGTCAGAGGCAGAATACTTGTCTAGTATCCACAGGCCCTGGGCTTGATCCCTGGCACTGAAGAAGTTAAAGACATAAATAAGCTGCAATATGCCAAGAAACAAATACATGGAAACATTACATGGCACACATTTATGGAGTTGACATTAATTTAACTTGAATAATTAGATAAAGGGACATTTTTGGATAAAACAAAACGGCACAAAGAAAGGTAATATTCGTTACTTTCTAAGGTAAAATAGAGATTTCAAATTTCCTGCTTAAAAGTTCACTGAAGCTGTGTTTGTTTTCTTCTGACCTTAAGTAGAAAAGTTTAAGAATCTCTGTCTGAGATATACTTAATGAGTGACAGGTCATTAACTCCTATAGGAGATAAATGAAACAATAATTTTTTATTACAATTTTTAAAACTTTAATATTAGGCTCAATCACTTACTTTAGTCCTAATTATTCCCTCTTGTTTTTAGTCCCTGTAAAAACTGGAGTACTGTATTGGAAATGCTGTAGAATCTTAGTTACATAGACTTGGCAATTTCATTCCTGGCTGTGTACTTTTCTCTAGAAGCAAATACCTTGCACTTCTGAGTGTTAGTGTAATTACCTATAAAATTATGATCATAAGATCACAAGAATTATATAGATAATGCATGGAAGTATTTAATGCAGGACTTACATATAGTAGATGGACGATAAGAGTACCTTTACCCTTCATCTCTTTGCATATTAAAAGACTGATAATCCTTTAACCCTTTCTTATTGGGAAACTGTCTTACCCCTGAACTTCATAGCATTTTTCTCTTTTGATATTCTTTTTTTTTTGTCTTTTTGAGACAAATTTTATGTATATTATTTTGTTATGCTTCAGAGATTCGCCTGCTTTTGCCTCCCGGGTGCTGGAATCAGAGGTGTGCACCATCAGGCCCCACTCTTCTATTGTTTTTTGAAGTAGAATCTTACTATGTTGCCCAAACTGGCCCGTGGTTCCTGGGATTACAGTGAACACTCCTGCCTCAGCCTCCCAGGTAGCTGGGACTACAAGTGCACACTGTCAGGACTATTTTATGAGATCTTTTAAATTTTTCCAATGCTAGTAGACCATAAATGGTACCTTTTTTAGATAAGGGTGAGTAACCCTTGTCTAAAATGTTTGGGACTAGAAATGTTTCAGATTTTTTGAGTGATTTTTGTTTTCTTTTTTTGATTTTGGAGTGATTTTTGTTTTCTTTTTTGATTTTGATTTTGGTTCTAGAATATTTACATAGGCTTTATTGGTTGAGCATTCCTATGAGGAAAATCTGAAATTAAAAATGTTCCTAAGTCCAAAACTGAATTGGAGCATTTTGGATTTGGGGTTTGGATTAGGGCTGCTCAGTTTGTACTAGTGAGGTTGACCATCTTTTCACATATTTATTGGTTGGCTGGACGTACTTATATGACTTCTCTATTCTCTGATCACTTTTCTACTAGAATTCATTTGAGCAGTTTGGTTTAAAGATGCTGTTTATGTGTTGTAGGTGACAACCACTTAACTCCTTATTTACATTGTATTTAATCCTGGTTTGTATTTTGTCCTTTGTTTCTCTTTGTGAAAAATTTACTTGGATGGAAGATCTAAATTTTTTATTTTTTAAATTTTTTTGGGTATGAGTGTATTGCCTGCCTGCATGTAGGTGCATCTGTGTTGTGCAATGCCACAGAGGTCAGAAGAGGGCGTCGAATTCCCCTGGAACTGAAGTTAAGAATGTTTCTTAGCCACCATGTGGGTACTGGCACTTGAACCCTGGTCCTCTGCAAGTGCAGTCAGTGTTCTTAACTGCTGAGCCATCTCTACAGCCCTGGAATATCTAAACTTTTAAGAAAATATAAAAACCGACAAGTTTTAGTGTTTATGCTGAAATTTTTTTCTTTACCTTTTCTGGGTTATGTGATTCACTTGAGCAGTCAGAGTCAAAAACAGTTTGTGTTTTTCTTGTAAAATTTTAGTTCTTTAGTAACTAAGTATATTTTTAAAATATTTGTGAATTTGAAATATGGAAAACAAATTCTTTAATCCTTTAAAAAATTTAAAATATTGTATTTATTTTATTTTATGTGCCTGAGTGTATTGCCTACACGTAAGTGCACCCGTGTCATGCAATGCCCAAGGAAGTCAGAAGAGGGCGTCAGATTCCTCTGAAACTGGAGTTACAGACAGTTCTTAGCTACCATGTGGGTCCTAGGAATTGAATCTGGGTCCTCTGCAAGAGCAGCCAATGCTCTTAACCACTGAGCCATCTTTCCAGCCCCTCATTTATTTTTTCTGTGTGTGTATATGTATATGTGTGCACCTGTGTATTTGTGTGTACATACATGTCTGTGTGACACAGCATGAATGTGAGGTCAAAGGACCACCTGTAAGAAATTGGCTTCCTCCTTCTGCCATGTGCATCCCAGGGATTGAACTCAGGTCTTCAGGCCTGGTGGCAAACTCCTTTACCTATTGAGCCATCTCACTGGCGCTTTTTTCTTTTTTGAGATATGGTCTCATAGGCCAGGCTGGCTTTGACCTTCTGATCCTCCTGTCTTTACCTGCTGAGTGTTGGAATTGCAGGTGTGTACCACCACACTTGGTTTATATGGGCCAGGACTTCCTGCGTGAAATACAAGCTACATACTCAGCCCCCACATTTTCTTTTTTCCCTTTGTTTTTGAGACAGGGTCTCCCTGTAGCCCCTAGCTGGCCTGGAACTCACTAAGTAGACCAGGCTTGCCTGATCTCACAGAGATCTACCTGCCTCTACCTCCCAAATGCTGGGATTAAAGGGGATTAAAGGCATGTACTATCATTCTCTCTTTCTCTCTCTCCCTCTCTCTCTCTCTTCCATCCTTTCTCTTTCTCCTTTCTTTCTCTCCTCTCTCCTCTTTCTTTCTCTCCTTCCTTCCTTTCTCTCCCTCTCTTTCTTTCTTTTTCTCTCTCCTCCCTCCCTCCCTTCCTTCCTTCCTTCCTTCCTTCCTTTTCGTTCTTTTCTTGGTCTTTTTGAGACAGGGACGCCCTATAACCCCAGCTGACTTGGAACTCTCTATGTAGACCAAGCTGGCCTTGAACTCACAGAGATCCACCTGCCTTTGCCTCCCAAGTGCTAGGAT